AGTCAGTCTGTCTATTCTTTCTGCATTGAGTCTCTTCTGTCCTAGGTCATAGTACTCTGTGGATGAAGGATAGGGCTTGGATGACGAAACCCTAGTTTGACCTTGTAGGGCTAAGACTGTGGCTGATCCAACTTTCCAGGGGGGCATAACCCTCCCAAGGACCGGTGCTGACCGGCTGGAAACGGTTGGTGGGACTCAGTGGGCCTGAACGGCAGGTAGGGCTGACACACCAGGCAGTCTTTAAGTCTTGAGGGCCTGTTTGAACCACTCCCCTACCAGACCAAGTAAGGCTGATGATCTGTGTCTGACGACTCGACTGTCCCGGGGGATACGAACCCTCCCAAGGACCGGTACAGACCGGCGGGCTGCTCGGTGTGGCACAGTAGGCCGGAAAGGCTGAGTTGTGGGCTGAAAGCACAGGCAGAACCAAGCTGATCACGTCGTCCTGTCTGCGACGGGGTCAAGGTCCCCCGTTAAATCGCCAGGGTAATCGGTCCCCACAGCGAGGAGGTGGAAGAGCACCTCAAGGAGGATGGCACCCAGGCTTGCCACAGGGCAGGCCCTGGGAAGACTTGGGCTTGGACTAGCGTTTATGGCAGGAACGCGTGAACATGGGTCAGTGCGTTTTCCGGCGCACGTAATTAAATATTGTCCTAAGTATAGACAGGCCCGTTGGGCTGCCCAACAGTCAAAAGGCAGCCGCCCGTAGGGGTGGCAACTGCCCCTACTTCAAGGTCATGTGGAGAAGTGATCGCGCGCGAACAGGACACTCCCAACCCACATGAACCGATGGCAGAGGTTGCAGGCCTGTGCCTAGCTAGTTGTCCAGAGACCGCCTGTGTTAGCGTCTCTTTAGGCACGTCCCTCACAGGTGTGGCAAAAGAGTTGAAGGAGAGAATGCCAGCCTGGGCCAAGATGAAGAAAGAGAGTAAAGGACAACTGATCTTGGTAGATGTAGAAGTCTTTAGAAGCAGAGTAGGGGCCCTCATAGACTCAGGGGCCACCTGCAGTTACATTAGTCGTAGGGCGCTGAGGAAGCTGAAGCTAGGATTAAAAGTCCAGAAATTGGCGGACCCCATAGTCAGTATCCTCGCAGACAACCGCACGATGTGAGTTGAGGACTATGTAGAGGGAGTCCAGGCGTATTTTCGCTTAGAGAAAGATGGGCAGGTGGAGAAACTTCTCCATTCCCTGACTCTCCTCGTACAGGATGACCTTCCTTTCGATATACTGTTAGGAATGGATTGGGGAGAGGCAGCAGGGGCCACACTTCATTTGAGAGAGCATGAGTGTAGGCTCCCTAGTTCGTCAGGCGAGGTTAAGACTGCCCGCTTGTTCCATGTGTCTGGTGTAGATAACACCTTGGCACATTGTTGTCTCAGTGCTCCCGCGTTCACGCGATTAGTAAAGAAGGAGCAGTTAGAAGACCAGGTCTTTGTAGTTTATGTTAGACCTGTCACTGAGGCCCAGGAAAAGGATAGTTCCACAGATCCAACAATTGCCAAGCTGCTGGAAGAATTCAAAGACTTGATTGAGTCGCCGACAGGAGTAGTGTCACGACCCATCCAACACAAGATAGAGATAGAGCCCGACAGTAGAACTCCTAAGGGTGCGGTGCAGTCCACAGAATGTCCCCCAGGGAGTTAGAGGAGCTTCGCAAGCAGTTAGATGAGCTCCTAGAGAAAGGTTGGATCAGGCCCAGTTCGTCTCCTTTTGGAGCACCCGTTTTGTTTGTCCCCACGAAGGAAGGAGAGTTGAGAATGTGTATAGACTATAGGGGTTTGAATGCGATTACTGTAAAGAATGCTGAGCCACTGCCCAGGATAGACGATCTCTTAGATCGGGTGCAGGGTTGCAAGTATTTCTCCAAAATAAACTTGAAGTCCGGATACCATCAGATAGAAGTCCATCCCGATGACCAGTACAAGACTGCGTTCCGGACTAGATACGGGCACTATGAGTTCATAGTCCCTTTGGACTAACCAACGCGCCAGCTACCTTTCAGCGTTGTATGAACGACCTGGTTAGACCGTGGTTAGATAAGTTTGTAGTAGTCTATCTAGATGATATCCTAGTTTTTAGTAAGACCCTCCAGGAGCACCAGGGTCATCTGAGGCAAGTCTTGGAGAAGCTACGAGAGGCTAACTTCAAGATCAACGCAAAGAAGTGTGAGTGGGCCAAGACACAAGTTTTGTACTTGGGCCACATGTTGGACGAAGATGGCATTAAGCCAGAGGAAAGCAAGATAGCGGCGATTAGAGACTGGCCGACGCCCCGCACATTGACAGAGTTGCGATCGTTCCTAGGCTTAGCTAACTACTATAGGAAGTTCGTGAGAAACTTCTCCACTATCGCCGCCCCCTTGCGCAGACTGCTAAAGAAAAGGCAATCTGGCAATGGGACAAAGACTGTACGTCTGCGCTCAAGAAGTTGAAGCGCTCGTTAATAGAATATCCCGTCCTCAAAGTAGCAGATCCGTCCTTGCCACTTGTCGTTACCACGGACGCAAGTCAGTATGGGATAGGCGCCGTGTTGCAGCAAGACCACGGCAATGGCTATAGACCCGTAGAGTTCATGTCAGCGAGGATGCCCTGTGAGAAGGTCGCTACCTCCGCGTACGAGAGAGAACTCTACGCTCTCAGGCAGGCTTTAGACCATTGGAAGCACTACCTGCTTGGGAGGCACTTCAAAGTGTATTCTGACCACGAGACACTTCGTTGGTTAAAGACACAGGCCAAGATGACACCTAAGTTGACTAGGTGGGCCGCAAAGATAGACCAATTCGACTTTGAGCTCAAGCCAATAAAGGGCAAATACAACGTAGTTGCGGATGCTCTGAGTAGGAGATCAGACTACTTTGGAGCYGTAGTACACTATCTGGATATAGGGAGAGACCTGCAGGAGAAAGTGAGGCAAGCATATGTGCAGGACCCTATCTATAACGACCTCCTAAAGAGAGTTAGAGAAGCCCCAGARACTGAACCAGATTACCGCACTACAGACGGGTTGCTGTTTGAGAAGACTAATGTGTTTGACCACCTGTGCATTCCCAACAGCGAAGAGATCCGCAGTTTGATTTTAGGGGAATGCCACGACACTGAAGGGCATTTTGGTTGGCAAAAGACATTAGCCAATCTGATGCGTGCGTATACCTGGCCAGGGATGAAGAATGACTGCATAGAGTATGTCCGCAGTTGTAAAGTGTGCCAGAGGAATAAGTCTACTACACGCGCGCCCCTAGGTCTTCTCAGACCCTTGCCTATTCCGGATCAGTCGGGAGACTCCGTGTCCATAGACTTCATGGACACCCAAGTCAAGAGTAGACATGGTAAGAGCCAAGTCATGGTCGTAGTTGACCGCTTTAGCAAATATGCAGTTTTCGTTCCTTTGCCTGCAGAGGCACGTACGGACTTAGTTATACAAAAGTTTTTTGACTTTTGGGTTAGTGAGAATGGAATCCCATTGTCAATAGTTAGTGATAGAGATAGTCGTTTCACCAGACAGAACTGGCAAGAACTCATGAGAGTTTACGGATCAAAGTTGCTAATGTCATCTGGCCGTCACCCAGAGACTAACGGTCAAACAGAACAGATGAACAAGATCCTACAGCAAGTTCTGCGCATGTACATTAAACCAGATCAGATTAACTGGGATGAGATGTTGCCTAAGGTAGCTAGTGCATACAACAACAGCGTTCATCTATCCACCTGCCGCACTCCCAATGAGTTGCACAAGTCCTTTAGACCACGCAGACCGTTTGAAGGACTGAACCGGGATCAGATTCACAGATTACCGCCCGGTACCAGGGAGTTTGCAATACAGCACGAGAAAGAACTAGCCACTGTTGTTGAAAACCTCAGGAAGGCCCAGCATAAGATGATAGAGCAAGCTAATAAGCACCGCCGCCCGTCGCAGTTTCAGGTAGGCGACTAAGTCTGGGTCAAGGCCAAAGAGTTTGCACCTGAGGAAAACATCTCGCAGAAGTTACTGCCCGCATATAGAGGACCGTGGCCGGTTCTCGAGGTCAAGGGCGGAGAGGATGGACCGTCCTATAGCATTGAGATTCCAGCACACCTCCACACATACCCTGTGTTCCATGCTTCAAAGCTGTTGCCGTGTATCACAAGTCAACAGTTCCCTTCGAGAAGATCCATGATCCCCCTGGATATGGATGGAAGTTATGACATTGAAGGCATTGTAGATGAGGATGTGTTCAGAACAGGAGGTAGAGGTCATCCCCAAAAACAATATAAGGTCCGTTTTGCTTATCAGGAACCGGAAGACGACCGCTGGTTCACGAAAACAGAACTCCTAGAAACCGCTCCCGACATAGTCAGAGCCTATGAACGTGACAAGAAAGGTAAAGGTCCCGCCTTGGACTGAAATGTTCTCGGAGGACCTCGAATTTAGGACGGCGGGAGTGAAACGGTTTTCACCTTTTAGCAGTAGCGGATGCAGTACCCAGGGTTCGATCCCTAGACCTCACCCTACCTATGTACAGTACCTGTATAGATCCCGAGAATTGAACCTGTGACCTGTGTATTCGCAGATAGTTGGTAGGTCTGTCGTAGGTCCATAGGCAGCAGGGGTTCGATCTGTAGGTCTATAGCGTAGAAGTCTTAGCAAGTTCCGGAAGCTTAGCTGTAGACCTTCTAGAAGGTAGGCAAGTGGGCAAGTGGTCAAGTGGCGAGGCAAGTGGTGGACTAAACCGCAGTGGAACAGCAGTACAACGTCGGTAGGATAGCGGTGAGTCCACAGTCAGTCAGCAGAAGGTCCAGTCAGTCCCAGTCCGGTCCAGCAAGTACCACAGGGGGACTGTGAGCACCAAGGGCCGATGGCAAAGGGCAGACCAACGAGTTTCTGAAGTATAAATCAAGAGGCAGCGCCCA